AGATACTAGGCTGGCTCTGGGGATAAAAAGATGTAATTGTACACCCTCCCGTGACAGACAGATGGACAGACAGAAATCACTGCCTGTCATGTTAGGCAGAATGAGGGAAGTCCGAGCAGGAATGGAGCCAGTAGAGTAGACAGTCCTGCCTGGACGCCTCAGGAAGGCTTTGAGAAGGTGAGTGATGGGGAGTGAGTAAGGTGCCACTGGGAGGGAGGGACCGTGTAGACCGGATGGAGGAGAGAATGTGAGTGAATGTCAAGTGGTATGGACGCCCATGGGGAACTTGCAGCCCCGGTGCTCTGGGGCAATCCCTTGGGGAGGTGGAGAAAGAATGGTAGGTTGACTTGGCCTTCACCTTGGACCAGAAGCAGGCTGGAATTACAGAGTGTTGCCTGATAGGAATACTTGTCGTGAAGGGACCGTATCAGAAAGGAGTCCTCTAACCAAAGTGCTTCAAGCCTTGGCTTCTCCCTCCCCAACCTCCATATCATCCATCTGCACTCCCAGCCCCACCAAGGCATAATGACAAGCCAGCATCTAAGAGCCCTGGTCACATGGACCAAGGGCCTGAGCTGGGCTTCCACCAGCAGACACATCTGGCCAGCATCAGAGCAGTGTCCAAAAAGTCCCCACTGGAGCCAAAGCAACCAGTCAGGATGCTGGTACAGAGCATGCTGGGAAACTCCCACAAGGAGCCCACATCGATATAATCGGGTCTGGTGGAAATTAAAAGCTATTAGGAACAGGGCTGGATTTACTTTTCTATCCAATAACATGCATTGTAATGGTGAAATTAAGCCATATCTCAGCTTCACGGAGGCCTTAATTTTAATTTATGTTTGTGCACAGCCCTTGGCTCCCTTACCCCCACCCCACCTACTCCTGAGAGCCAGTCACATCCAACCGAGTCCCTCGGAAGAAAAGCAAGAGATAGGCGGCCACCAGGCCACGTGTGAGGCCCTCTGTGCTGTTGCACAGACATCTTTAAATGGCTGGGCTGAAGGAAGACAGCTAGCTGGGACAGGGAGGACTGGGAGGCAAGCTGGTTAGTGCTGCTCTCACCAGCTCCAGGAGGTGGGCCTGCCCCTCCCCAGCTCAGAACTGCCAGAGGCTGGCTGCACTGCAAATACCCTACCACAAAGCTTGCTTAGGTGGCCCTGAGCCTTTAATGCCTCCCAAATCCTCTCAGAGAGAAGCATTGAAGGGCTGGCTCCCCATTCTCAGAGGTTTGCACCTGCCCACTGGGTCACCTCCTCTCAGGACACCTGTTCTCTCCAAAGGCTGCTCCTGGGGGCTTAGGTTGGTCCACAAAGGCCTCCCTATAGGTCGCCTCTCCCCAGCACCTGCTCCTTCTGGCCCTGTGGCTGGTGGAGAATCTGAGCCCAGAGCTGCAGAGTCAGAGGTCCACATGAGCACAGTCCTCCCTGCTCCAGAAGTCTGGGGGTCAGGAGAAAGGAACTCCTGCACTTCACTCCTTCTTTTCCCTCAGTTGTTCCATCTCCCTCCACCAGGAGAAGCTGTCTCTCTCTCTCTCTCTCTGTCACACACACACACACACACACACACACACACACACACACACACACCATATACTCTGAGTGTCTTATGGGTATGGATGACAGAAAATCCTATTTCTAAAAAAATCCATAAGCAATCTGCGTTTTCCAAAAACAACTCCACAGCATGGGGGCCAAGACTTGGACCCTCACTTATAGGGCCTGCAATATCTTGGGAGGGAGCACAACTCTGCTCTAGTGGCTCTCTCCTAGTTCCTCAGGGAACCAGGAGGTGGGATTCCTGTGCTTTGGAAGACTGTGCCTGGATCTAAAATGAACCAGTGGAAGGATCTAGAATGGTTAAGCATGGGGCTGGAGGGCTGCACAGGGGAGGGAAATTCTCCAAGGCTGAAGGAGCAAAAAGGGTTCTTCAGAAGCAGAGTTGAACACAGCCCTGCAGATTAGCAGCGTGCCTACTTCCAGATAATTATGCCCTGTGGGCCACCAGCCCGGCCTTGACATCAAAAGCCGCCCTGAAGCACCAACTACAAGGGCTGCCTGAGGGGAACTCCGTGCCTCCAGCTCCCAGGCTCAGGAGTCGATGAACCTTCCTTCCCTCTGTCTGATCTGGTCTTCTTACCCCATACCACCATGTCCTGCCTTGTCCATGCTGTTCCCCATCTTCCTTCAGAATCCACCCAGCCACCCGCCAAACCTCTCCTGAGCACAACCCTCCAATGGTCAAGGCAGCATATTAAGAGCCAGTGATAAGGCGATGGATCAACATGGTCCCCAAGTTTGGGAAACTGCGTCTAGACTCTGTTAGGAGATACAAATGCATTACAACGGGCAACAGGAGGTACAAAGGGGAAAGCACTCTTTTCCTTAATCTTAATAATAACAGCTATGCATGGTCCTCAGTAATAATAGCAATAGCTATGGATGGAAAGTAGCGCGGACTGCCAAAAGAAATGACACCTCGGCCTTGGAAGCCGTACAGCCAGATGCTCCTTAGAGGCAAGGATGCCGAGGCTTCAGCTCATGTACTTCGGACATGCTGTCAGGAGAGACCAGTCTCTTCAGGACACTGCACTTAGCAGAGGGGCAGTGAAAAAGAGGAAGACCTCAACAAGATGGATTGACTGGGTGACCTCAGATTTAAAAACAACTGTGAGCGCAGCCCAGGACCCGGCAGTGCTTCCTACTGTTGCACATCACACAGTGGCTATGAGCCAGAACTGACCAGACAGCCCCTAACAACCCCTGCAAGATGGCTGGCCAGGAAATGGCCCAAACATTTACGCAGAGGGATTCATGTTATCCTTACTTCAACCAAACCAAATGATTGGCCCTGCTTTACCACTGGGTGGGGATATCTTGTTAGTTTATAGTGGAATAAATTTGAAAGCTAGCTCGTCTGGTTCTAGATCATAATCTTAATGACTATCCTGGCCCACAGCTTCTGCAAGCTCTCCCGGAAAGTCAACAATGATTTCCTCCCCCACCCCTCCCCTCCCCAAAATTGACTCAATGGCTTTGGTTTGTTTTAGAAACCAACTGAGCCTTGATTGCAGTACTTGGATAACTTATTGGATACATTTGTATCAGTGTGCCGGCAGGCAGTTCTGTGTTCTAATCACAGGGTGAAGAAAGCAAGACCAGAGGTCAAGCCTTGCCCTCTGCCAACATAGATGTGGCCCACAACTACTTCATTTCTTTAGACCTCCGTTTCTTCTGTAGAGTGGCGGTGGGAACAATACACACAGGACCTTTCAGTGAGAATAAGATGTGATCCCATGTGAAAGTTTCTTAGAGCAGAGCTTGCAAATCTGAGTCTATCATGAACGGATGTGTATAAGAAACACCACGTTTCTCTCCTGTTTTTTAAACCCACTGAGATCTGAGGCCACTGAGTGGGTAGTCAGGTCAAACTCCATCATGACCAGGGGCATACTGCCAAGGTCGTCTTTTCTGGTTCTCACGAGCCCACTGTCCCTGCATGACCTCTCTGAGACAAGAATCTAGCCTCCCCCATCCCCCACTGCTCCCCTCACAGCCATTGCTGTGTGTCCTGCCCATTCCTGAAGCACCCCCAGCCCCAGCAGTCTCCATTCATTCCCATCTCTCAGTGTTATTTCGACTCCTGCCCTCAAGCCCTCCTCCCTACCAGCACACCCTCCACAACCATCCATATTGGTTTGTTCTTTTATAGGAGACGGGATCAATAGATCTCCCTATGTAGCTTCTGAGTCCTGTCCACCTGCCACCTGAAATGGAGAGAAGCTTGAAAAGTATTGGAGCAACACACCAAGGACCATCTCAAGGAGAGGCCCCTGCAGGGTTGCTGTGAATACACAGGAGTGGTGTGCTCTCACCTGGCGCCACACTGGAATCACCTAGGAAGCTTTGACAAGATGCTGATGCCCAGGTGCCACCCCAAAGACTCTGATTCTATTGATTGGGGGGTGGTATTTAAGGTGGGGGGGGGAAGCTCTCCAGGGATCCTAACATGTCGCAGGACTCTAAACTCCTTCTCTAGAGGTCCCACCTGTAGAAGTCATGTCCTTCCAGCTACCCTGAAAACCTGGAGGAACAACAGCATTTCGCACAAGCAGCTGTGTGACTTTGAGCCACTCAGAGAGCATCCAGTCAAGTCCCTCCACTTGACAGGAAGGAAAGCAAGGGGCCTTGGTCAAGAAAGGAAGAAAAGGCATCAAAGGCATCGGGTCCTTCCGGGATGACAGGAGAGATGCTGGGGTGGGTGAGGGGACCCACAGGGATATACACAGAGATCCAGGGGCATCCTGAGGACCAGGGGACCTCTCTCTTGGAGTCTACAGACCTGGCTCCTGTCAGAAGCACCCCTTTGCATTGGGGTTGCCAGTAATGAATGAGAGGCTCTCAGTAACAGCAGCTCCACTGGGGGTGGGGGGCATCTACAACATGATATTAACCCATTCTCCCAACATCAAACACAGAGCAAGGCTAGCCGCTATCCTGATGAACCCTTTAGCCACTGCATGGCAAAAACAAAACCAATCCACCAGTCCCAGTCAGCACGCGGAGCAAGTCTGTAATGTGCACTGCTCGGCTCATTCAGTGCCGGATGACACCGCCCTCCTCGTCCCTCTCTCCTCACCATCCTTCACAGACCAAGTGCTCCCAGCCTTGCCTGTCATCCCCAAGGCAAGGGCAAGCCAAAGCATGGCAGTCAGGAAGACAGAGACCCAGCTCCTCTGGGGAGTAGGACCCCTTCCCCCTGTGTCCCTGTGACCTTCCCACACCCAGCACGAGACACGGCCAGGTGAGTCTTCCCATCCCACACGGTGAGCTACCAGGTCAAGGCCAAAGACACACCATGCCGAAGTGTCACTGGCCCAAGGATAAGTCACTCACCAGAACCGACCTCAACATCTCGAGCTCAGCCAGCAGCTCAAGTACCTCGACTTTGTCCGCTCCCTAAACAGCCCCGCCTGCGGTGGCCCCGAGCACCTCTCTTACCTGGGATGATGGAGACTGTGTCTTTCTCCCAGGATACAACGCTAACATATTCCTGCACTGAGGAGGGGATGAGGCACTTGAAGACGGCCACGTTTCCACGCACTGACCTTTGATCCTCCACCCGGACGGTGTAGGGTTCCCTGAAAACTGAACAGAGATTGGGGGCAGCAGGTGTAACAGGCTGGGCTGGGAAGAAAGGAAGAGAGCCACCTTGGCTCCCTCAGCACCCCCAGACCTCACCCTCCACACCCTCCCTCCTACTTACCAGCCCCAAGTGCTCCTGAGCAACTGTCTCCATCAATCTCCTTCCTACTCCCCTGGGCGGCCTAGTCCTCCTCAGAAATATCCAGACCTCCCTCTCCATGGCCATCAATCCAAGTTCCCCTTTTCCATGCCTGTGCTCATCGAGGGAACTCTATTAGACTGTAAGTGCCCTGAGGACAGTGTCTAAACCCAACAAGGTGATCATATGCAAAAGGAGCATCCAGTTTAGGCACAGAGGAGGCTCTCTAGAATTCCTCTATGGCAGCGGTTCTCAACCTGTGGGTCGCAACCCCTTTGGGGGTCGAACAACACCCAATTCATAGCAGTAGCAAAATTAGAGTTATGAAGTAGCAACAAAAATAATTTTATGGTTGGGGGGGTCACCATAACATGAGGAACTGTATTAAAGGGTTGAGGCCTCAGGAAGGTTGAGAACCACTGTTCTATGGGATCCAAACTTGATTCCCTACATGATTTCTAGATGTAGGATGACATTCATCGTGGGCACAGGGACCATACATTTCCAAGATTAAAACAAAAAAACGCGAGACACATGATCTAACAAAACATGTCTGTCCCATTTGAACGTGGAGGCAATCTGGGAGATCCAGTACAGAGCTTTCTGGAAAGACGTGGTGGTTTGTAAGGGCCATCGGAAAGGACATTGGAGACAGTGACTGTCTGGAGATTCAGAGCCCCTGAGACAAGCGCAGAGTCTCCAAGATTCTTAGAAACAATCCATCCTCACTGTTTCTTCCCAACGCTGCTGCTGCCCCTCTGGCACCACCTCTGCCCACCCTGCAGACACCCTTTCCCCGTGGGTCCCAGACAAGCTCTCAGTTCCCATGCCAGCTTCTGGGGTGCTGTCCCCTGCAGCTGTTCTCCAGGTGGGCAGATCTGGCCTTGGGAATGGAACCCAAGAGTCCTCTCCCTGGGTCCTTCTCTGCCAAGCAGAAACTGGGACCTCTTGAACACCACTGCCCACCATCCTTGTTCCTCAGCAGGCACTGGGCATCATGCCCTGCTCCTCTCCCTCCACAGTTGCCAGGGCGACACTGAGGGCCCTGGCAGCCCCTCTGGCTGTGCACCTGCACCTGCAGCCCCTCCGGCATCATCAGGAGCCTCTTAATTGGTTGTGCTTCCAGTGGTTCCAGCCTCCCCAAGTCTTCCTTCCCCTTCTCCGTGCTGAGGCTGGGAGGGGGCACTGCCACCAGGTGTGGGTGAGCCTGGGGCAGAGCTGGGCCTGGAAGGAAGCAGCGTGCTGGCCTGAGGAGGGTTGGTGTCCCAGGGCATCACAGACATGAGCGGTTGAGCATCGAGTAGTCAGCTCTGCCTCCTCCAGTGACTAGCTGGGTGTTTTGGGGCTAGGGACAGTTCACATCTCAGAGCCTCCGCTTCCACATTTGTGGAAGAATTACTGGCATGATAGGTGCAAAGGGCCCAGCCCTTGTAGGACACCTATGGGATGTTGCCCTTCATGACTTTCATTTGCCTCTGTCCCTTCACTTGACAAAGTTATTGTCCAACTTGCACCCCAACTCCACGAAGGAGCCCTAATGGTATAGGGGATTAAGCCCCGGGCTGCTCACCAAAAGGCTGATCGTTCAAACCCACAAACCACTCCACAGGAGAAAGGTAGACTGTCGACTCGTAAAGATTTATGGTTCTGAAAACCCCACCACGGAGCAGTGCTAGTCCATCCTATGGGGTTGCTCTGAGTCAGGACTGACTCAAAGGCAGTGGGTTGGGTTTTTGGTAACCCAACGATGAGCAGGTCATAGGAAAAAATGGAATGCCTTCCCTTGGTCCAGGGCCCCAAGCTGTGGAGACGCCGAACCTAGACCTCAGGCCACCCAATCCTGCACTTGCTGTGCTATTAGGGCATACTCCTGAAAAGAGACCCTACAGGGAGCTCCACGAGGACACTCCCTGGGCATGGCTTCAGCAATAAGCACCCCCCACCTCACTCCCCCCCCCCCAAGTACACTAATGGGATGAAGTCAGATCGGCTCTTGAATCAGGAACACTTGCCCCACCTCACCCCTACACACACAGGTCCCAGCTCCTCAAATCCTTGTCAGTGTGAAAGGCTGTCCTAAGTTAGGGCAGGAGGACTCAGGAGGTCACACACCTATTCTTGTAAAGTCTGCTGCTAGGCATTGTGGGCAGGAGGCCTTTCCAGGGCCCACATTCCTCTGCCCCACAGTTTCCAGGCACGATGCTGCAGCCAAGGCCTGGAACCATCACAGCAAGTCTGCTGGGACACACCTGCCCCTCACACTTAAAGAAGCTTTTGTCAGGAAAACTAAACAAAACTGCCCTCGCTGCCATCAAGTCAGTTCCGACTCATAGCAACCCTGTAAGACAGAGTAGGACCGTCTGTCCATGGGTTTCTGAGATGGTAACTCTCCATGGGACGAGAAAGCCTCATTTTTCAGCCATGGAGCAGCTGGGGTTCTAAACTGCTGACCTTGTGGTGAGCAGCACAGTGTGTAATCCACTAGGTCACCAGGGTCCCAAACACTGGGACACCTTACAACTGACTGTGACACACCTGCTCATCATGATAGCCTAGTTAAGATGAGCTGTTGAACTGCGCCTTTCCCTTGCCTCCAGGACTAGCCCTGAGAGAGGAGACTATCTGGGGGCACGATTCGCCTCTGACACACATGGGGTCAGGATTGACTTGATGGCAACTGGCTTCACCTCACACAATAGAATACTGTACACATCTCAAATGAGCAAGTGGAAACCACACTCAACCCCGTGCCCTCACGTCAAGTCCAACTCCCAGCCACCCCATAGGACAGGGTAGGATTACCCTTGTGGCTATCCAAGACGGTAATCTTGATGGAAACAGACTGCCTCACCTTTATCCCGTGGAGCGGCTGGTGGGTTCAAACTACTGACCTTTCCTTAGTAGCCAAGCTGTTTAGTCACGGCACCACCAAGACTCCTTAACCATGTCTATCAGTAGGAGTGAACTCACAAACATAATATTAGGCAAAAGAACCAGGAAAGGGCATGCCGTGGTCTATTTACACAAAGCACAAAACGTAGCAAAAATGATCTATATTGTTAAAAGTCAGGCTACTTGTCACCTTGGAGTAGTGACCAAAAAGTATGAGGGAGGCTCTGGGGGCTGACCTCTTAGTTCTTGATCTGAGTCCTAGTGGCATCCCTTGAAAACTCACCAGGAGACAGACTTGTCACATGTGCTCGCTTCTTTATTCCATCTCAGTACAAAGTGTTTTTTGGATTCTGTTATTTTTAGAGACAGTTCAATGAATGTTTCCCATGAGTCAGGCCCTGCTTTTTATTTAATGTAATGAGTACGAGCTCATGTAACTATCACCTGGAGTAGCCGGCAAGAGCATCAACTTTGCAGAGAAAATGAGGCTTAAAAATGTGATGTTCTTTGCCAGGAACATACCGGAAGTACTGGAAGCTAGACCAGAAGTTCTCAGAGCTACTAGTCAAAAGACACAAAAGTGCCAGCAAGGGGATGATGATGTCTTCCAGGCCCCCCTGAGCAGGGCAAGCACTTCGCCTGAGAACGACAGTCAGTCCCGGAGCCACCCAGACCCTCCAGCAGGGCATTCGGCCCTTACCTGCTTTGACGCGGATGTTGGGGCTCCGGATCTTGCCGGCAGCGTTTTCCGCGGTGCAGAAATAGTCATTGTCGTGGATAAAGCTGTTGAAGGCGGAGGGGGAGAAGGGGTAGAGCTGCAGCGTCCCGTTGGCGTGCACGTGCCGGATGTGCGGCACGTCGTAGATGTCGTCCCCTGTGGCCAGGTACCATCGGAGGGCCGCGCTGGGAGAGCCCGTGGCCGGGCAGGGCACCACCACCCCGACAGAGCTGGAGAAGGTCACCTGCTGCAAGGAGTCATTTACAAAGTAGAGGCTGGTGCCAACATCTTCGGGGCGGGCTGCGGGGAAGGCGAGAAGGAGAGCTCAGTTTAGACACACCACAGCTTGCAGCCACGGCAACCACTGCCAGGTCATTTCGTGTGGTGGGATATGCACATCTATGTGTGGATTTACAAAGCATGTGTGCATACTTGTGAGAAGCCGTGGTGGTGCAGTTGGTTAAGCCCTGGGCTGCTAACACAAAGGTCGGTGGTTCAAGTCCACCAGTTCCTCTGCAGGAGAAAGACAGGGCAGTCTGCTTCTATCAAGACTGACAGCCTTGGAAACCCTATGAAGTAGTTTTTCCCCTCAGTTGGGTCACGGAGTCAGAATTGATTGGATAGCAGTGGGTGTTGTCTGGTTTGGTGACATACGTTTATGTGCACTGAGGACAGGGGCAGATTACCCAATAGGCAAGGTAACCAGGGGCTTACTTGTGTTTCCTTACTAATCTGTAGCGAGCAGTCTCATAGTTTCACCACACCAGGGATGTGTACGTAATTACTGTGCTCCCCTGGCTTGGTGTGCAATCCATCCCTGTCTAGGATTTTAAATGTCCCAAGAGGCTGGTATTGTAAGAAGGCGCTGTGGGTTTGGGGAGACAGGCAGAAGCCAACTATACCTAGAAGGAGAATATTTGATGAGGTGAAAAATGTGAAATTGTTCACTACAGAATAAGTAAGCTCAAGTCAGACCACGCTTTACCTTGCTGATTGGGTAATCTGATACTGCATGTGCATGTGTGTTAACATGCATGTACAAGGGATTTCAAAAGATTCCTGGAAAAACTAGCATTAAAAAATAATGGAATTCTTCCACAAACTTTTTGAAGCTAGCCTGTAAACTGCATGTAGTAAAGCACACACACAGAGGGCACCATTACCAATACTCATTAGACAAAACCAAACACCTCGGAGGAGAGGATTTCTGATTTGAAGCTTTAAGCCCACAGTCTCGCAGGACAACTCAGTCAATTTGTATAATATAGTTTTAAAAGTTTATGTTCTACATCCTAGTTTGGTATGAAGCGTCTGGGGTCTTAAAAGCTTGCGAGTGGCCATCCAAGACATTGGCTTCAGCCAAAGAAGGAGAATGAAATAAAGACTCAACGAGAAGCTATTCTACAGAACTAACAGTCTCTATGAATCAGCCGCATCTACCCAGAGATCAAGAAAACCTAGATGGTGCCCACCTACTACTAATGACTTTTAATCAGGGCCATGATAAATGAATCTTGATAGAAAGGATGAAAATATGGACCAGGACTCAAATTTGTTTAAAAGTCCAGCCTTACTTAGTCCAGTTGAAAGTAGAAGGCTCCCCAAGACTGTACTTCATAAACCTTGAGCCAGAACCTTGGGGTACTTTTTTTTTTCCCTTGGGGTACTTTTTATCTAAATAACAGATCCTCATAAAATAAAGAGTATTTACCAGGGAGGACTATGCACCTTTGATAAGACATCTCTGTAAGATCAAATGGTCAACAATTAATCTAAAGCACAGATGAAGGAGTAAGGAGAAAGGGAACTCAGATCACTAGAAGCAAAACATCTAGAAGTTTGTGAGGGCATTGATGAGAATGTTAAAACATTGTAAAGATGTAGCCAGTATCTCTGAACAATATGTGTCCCAAACATGGAGCAGCTGGTGTGTGTGAAATGCTAACCTGCAGTGAGCAGCCCAATATGTAACCAAAATGCCACCAGGGCCCCCTGAAAAATATGCATAGTCATTATTGAGTGGGAACCTAACTTGCAATGTAAACTTGCACTGAAAGAGCAATATTTAAGTTTTTCAAAAACATCATCCCACAGTCCAGAGATGCATGCAAAACCCAACATATATCCCCAAACAGCTGAGCACTAATCATACCACGCATACTTCCTGAGCACTGATGTACAAGTACCAGGCACTGAAGATACAAAGATGGATAAGACATAGACCCTGTCCCACAGAAGCTCCGAGCCCACCACAGGGATGGTAAACATTAAGGCATGTCCTCTCCACATCAGCTCAAGTCCATGGGGAAGGGCTGCCCATGGACTCTGCTTTGTTGAAGGGTCACTCCACTTAGAAGAGGCACAGAAATGCTCTGCTGAGGAAATATTTATTGAACACCTATATTGTGTAGGTAGGTTCACATCCAATGCTTTGGTTCTTCTGCACAATCTCAAGAGGAGGTGGTATCACACACCCTTTGCTAGGCTAAGAAATGTCCCAAGATTTGCTCGATTGCATAATCGTAGAGCTGAGACTTGAGCCTAAAGCTTGTACTATAGCTGGAAGAGCCTCAGAATCATCTTTGAAGAGAATGGCCAAGAGAACTGGGCCTACCTACCTGGAGCCCCCTGGGAGAACTTGAGAGCTGTCTTCACCCTTGAGAAATCCATTTGGAAAATGAAGTTGCCCTTAAAGGCCAGATAAGGAACAAAGGGCCTGGTGGGTGGATAGAATCCAAGACTAGAGGTCAGGAGACCAAGCTTCTAAACTCAGCACCCATACTGATGTCCTGTGTAACTCTCTTCTCTCTGAGCTTCCATTCTCTCATGGGTAAAATGGGAGGTAGATGAACAAAGACCCCGTCCATCTCTGACGTGTCATCAACATTCAACCACCTGAGAGAGAGTTCCTCCAAAGAACTGCAGCTATGTGACAGCAGCAGCAGCAGGGTCTGGCTGGACGGCAGCCGGTGGGCCCGTCCCTTCTCCTCAGCTGCCATTCAGTTGATTCTCACTCGGGGAGCCTCAGTGTGTGTCCCAGTAGAATTGTGCACTGTTGGGTTCTCAAATGTCGATGTTTTTGTAAGTCAGTCAATAAGCCTTTCTCCCAAGGTGCTTCTAACTCAAACCTCCAACCCATTGGGTTAGCCTCTGAGGGTGTTGACTGTTGCCCGCCTGCCTCCCCTCTCCCCAGGGCTTCCATCCCAGTAGAGGCCCTCAGTATTTCCTGCCCTTATCCTGGCAGCTCTGAATGCTAGAGTCAAGGGTCCCCACCCTTCACCTACCTTACCACACAACCTGCCCCAGTGGGAAGGGCCACTTGGGAGCAAGGGAAGGCAAGGCTAGAAGAAGAGAGGCACCAGGTCTCTGGCTAGCAGGCATTCCCTCCCCACCAGGAAGATGAAGAAGCAAACAAACCAGTCCACTGCCTGTTTAAAGAAAGTAGCAGGGGACCCAAGTTGACCTCAATTTCCACAACTTTATGGGGAGGGGGCGGGGAGGGACCCACACCCAGACTGCATTAATATTCCTGGCTTAACTCTGAGTCGAGGAGCCTCCAGGGAGAATGAACAGGCAAGGGCAGCCAGTGGAGAAAAGGCCATTAAGCATCATTGGCCAGAGCAATTCACATCATCTCATCAAAAGCCTGGATGAAGCCATTAGCAGCCACGCTGGAAAAACACGGTCCATGGGCTCCTTGCTACGGTGTCAGAGGTATCCTCTTAGCTGCAAATGTACTTGCTGTCCCTGTCAGGCGCTGCACCTTCTGGGGCTGAGATGCACCGAGAGAGGAGGTAACACCATCTCCCTCCCCACCCTCCTCCTCATGCTACCTCCATCAGGCACGGGGCAGGGTTGGTGGCTGAGAAAATCCGCTGTCTCTGGAGGAGGAAGCGGGTCCATCAGGACCCCGAGGCCTCAGACGCCCACCCAACTCACAGCAGCTAGAGCAACCCCCACCCCCAAATGAAGGCACCAAGGCATTTCACAAGGAAGACAACAGGCCTAGCGAAACTTCTCTTGGGTCAGGCCCACCAGGGTCTGCTTCCATCCACTCGCCCACATCACCGGGGTCTCCTTAATGAGAGTGATTCAATGGGGTGAGCGTGCTATCTTACCAAGTAATTAATAAGCATCTTCTCTGTGCCAGGCACCATGGCAAACCCTTGGCATGCATGCTGTTGTTGCCGGCTCTGATTCCTAGTGACCCTGTGTACAACAGAGTTAGACACTTACCCAGTCCCGTGCCATCCTCACAATTGCTCTTACGCTCGCCTCTTTTGACCCTGACAACCATCCTTTGAGGGAGGTACCATTTATTATCACCAGTCTACAAACAGGAGACAGAGTATCTGAAGGGCCCATAGCCGGACGAGTGAGGGCCCGGAGCCTGGCCCCAGAGTGGGCTCTGAACCAGGACATGAGTGGCAGCTGCAGTGCAATCACTGCAGTAAGAGAACAGGTGTTTGCCTCCTCAGACACAACCCAGTCACCAAGTTCCATTTCCAGCTGCCCACAAACAGAACACACACGCTCACTCTCCTAGAAGCAGCCCCTTCTGGGCTCTGGACATCACAGACAGCGCTGAAGACTGTGGGGCTGGGACATCACTCTAGGGTTCCGGGCTGCACCTTGAGACAACCTAGTTAATCAGACACCCTCACTGTGGTAGCTCCATGGATTTCAGGAACTACGATCCATCAAGGGTTGGTAAGACTCTATTACACTGCCCCTGACAAATGGACTTGGGATGCTGCAAAGCTCCCTGAAGGGGAGGGACACAGAAATTGTCTTGATTCATGGAAGAGAGTAAATAAATACTTATGGGTAGATGTGATGGAGTGAAGTTAAAAATAGTCAACAGTGGTTGAACTGTTAACTACGGGCTAGGCACATTCTCCTTTTCATGATCACAACTCACAGTGGCCAGAAGAGGTGTTCTTATTCCCACTTTCTAGAGAAGGAAATCAACTCTAAGAAGTTAACTAACTTACCCAAAGATACCCAGCCCGTTAAGTGGCCAAGCTGAGATTGCAGTTCATTTTTGCTCTCATTCGGAGGCTGGAAGGGACCACGATGCTCTACTGTATGAACCACACTGAAGACAAGTCAAAAACCAAACAGGAAAATAAAAGCCACTGCCACCGAGTGCATGCCGACTCACAGCAACCCAATAGGACTGGATGGAACTGCCCCTGCGGGTCCCAAGACGGTCACTCTTTACTGTAGTAGAAAGCTCCATCTTTCTCCCGTGGGTGGTTTCAAACTGTTGACCTGGCAGCTAGCAGCCCACTGAGCAA